CACCTCCAGGTATGCTAACAGTTGTCTCTGCTTTCAAACAAAAGGCAGTCAAAATTAAGGGCTTGATAATTCAGGCATGTACTTCAGAGTCTCAGTTTTCTTATCTCTAAAATTATTAAAAACTACCTTTTTTGGCTTTTGAACAGGAGTACAGTGTTAAACAGTGTGATGTTCAGGCACAGCTAACTCGTAGGACTACTAAGGTATGAAAACTATTTGTTGAGGTTTACAGGCCCCATAATTATTCCTGGTGAAAATTCTGAATGTGATCAATGAAGAGCTAGTGACTGTCAGTTTATCTAGTTGTGAGGACAACACTATGAATGACAGAACACATCAGAGAAAAGTTGGAGCTCTTGTATTTATGAAATATGCAGACTAAGGAGAAAGTTTCCTAAACTTTTAACTAGGCTATTCATCACAAGTTTAATTTAATGTTTCTAAACCTACATTAAAAACTTGCTTTTCTCTTGTGACTTCAGCAGCTTACTTTTTCTTCAGAGCTGCCTCTACAGCTAGCATGTTACTGGAAAGGCCCTAGTGATTTTTAAAAATAACTGGGTGTGCACAGACAACAGTGAGAGAGCCATTTAGAGTTGCTACATCCCCTCAGTAGAATTACAGTAGCTATAGTGCAGAGTATAATTGTCTTCTTTAGTGTTTGGAGTGTCTTCTTTCCATGACAACAGACATATTTTACTGTCCAGTGTACTGGTTAGATAAGGATCTGGTTGCTCCATCTTAGCTGTGAAGGTCCTTTTAATTACTCAGTTATGATCCTTTCCAGTTGCTGAGTTACACACTTGTCTGCCACTGCTTGAGTTCTGACAGATTTAACTGCTGTGTTAACCCCCTTGTAGATTCTAGCAAACTGTCTTGCATTTTTGACTGAAACTACGGATTCCCCATTTCCCTTTTATAGAGATGACTGAGCATGTGCCAAGTTGTTAGTGGTCACAGTTTGTGATTCATTATAGTAATTTAAGTTGGATTTATGCTAGTAAATTGGGCTGTAACCAGCAATATTTCTAGCACAGGATTTTTTTTACTGGAGCAATCAATGGCAGTACATGGCCAGGAGGACATCTGAGAATAACAACTCTTAAAACCAATATAGCTGATCCTAAAAAGTTCTTTAAGTTTCAAGTGATAGCCTGTGTTTTCATAAAACAAATTTCAAAGGGCTGAAATTACTTACGATCCTGTAAATTGAATAGGCTGTAACCAATCAGACAAAGGCTTTGAAGTTATTAAAACACTGAATTTATAAATCTGTTTGTAACAGTTCTAATAAGCAATAGGATGTGAAAGACTGAGAACTTACTCTATTGTACTAGAAACTTTTGTTGATGTAGGAGGGCTTTATTCTTTACTTTTATTTAAAAGCAGTGTCTGTGAGTTAAAAAAAATGATTGGCCTCTAAATTATTCTAAGTTAGATGTTCTGTTGGTTTTTGTGCATTGAACCACCTGGACAGGAGTTTTCCATTATGATATGAAAGCACATACCAGCTTACTCTTTTTGAAAAAAGAGGCTTATTAGGGAATTGCAGTAGCACTTCTATTTTGTTTCATTTGGATGACATAATCTACACCTTTTTTTCCCTGTCAGTAGACTGTAATATAGCATGTAGGAGATACTACTCTAGAAACTTTGGGCAGAAATATGTGTATCAGATGATGATGTGCACAGTGGCTTAATTCCTAAAATAAATTTTATTCTTACTAAATTCTAAATACATTCTTGATTTTGAAACTTGTTCAAGACTAGTGTATCCTAGAACATTGCTTTTCCTACGTCCTGTGTAGTTAGCTTAAGTACTAAACAGGAATAATAATTTGTGTGAAAATTACCTAAAATACTTTATGTATCTAGTCAGACTGTCTCCTTTGCTATGTAATTTGGGAACTAATCCTGAATTTAGCACAATCTATTTACTAAAGAAGGAAGCTTCAGGCTTATAGTTCTTCACAAAATGGTCAATGCTAGGATTTGAAACCAGCATGGGAAGCTTATCATCCACAGCTTTGCCTTCAGAGTGATGGAGGCATTCTTCTGTCCAGTTCTCAGAGTTTGCTCATACACTTTGTGGTGGCCTCAGGAGAATGTTTATACACATTCTCTGTTCATGTTTATAGTATTTGATGCTGTTAGAAGTTAAATGTCTTTAGACCATGAGTTAGAGGTCGCTTTTGTCATCTTCCTGAGGTACCTTTTAATGTTTCCACCCCCACTTTTTTTTTTTTTTTTTTTTTTTTTTTTTTTTTTTTTTAATGGAAGGAATGAGGAATAGATGTACAAATATGCATATGAATTGGGATTTCAGTGTTACAAGCAGAATATCTGTAGGTCCTCTTGATTTCAAACAAGAATTTTACCTATATTTAGAATTTGGGGTATCACTTGCAGGATGTTTGGTTGGAGAACAAACTACTTGGCTTTGGGAAATGAAAGGGATCATCTCTTTAAGATCTTGAGAAGTGCTTTAATGTAACAAAAAAGACAAAATTATGTGTGAAAGTGTTTTAGCTCATTAGTTTATGGACAATCATCTTTGTATTAGAAAGTGTATTTTTAGCTTATAGAAGATACACATTTCTTTTAAATAATACTTCAGATTCATTATGTGTATTTTTCTTTATTGTCTTGGGAGTTAAACATTGCAGTTCCTTGGCAGTGAGAATAGACTGTGGCAATTGTTCATTTCAATACGAATGCATGTACAGGAAAATAGTGTGATTTGATAACTGGTTTAATAGTGGTCCTGTGTAATCTATTGAGATATTAAAAAAATACATACTTTTATGCACTTAATTTTAATATAAAAATTCCTTTGTATTAGCATCCAGTAAAAATTCAAAAATGTGCCATGGTCTTACATCAAGACATAGGTCATGCGGGCATAGATAATCTTGCAGCTTTGGAACAAAATATGTGAATTTACAGGAGACTGCTATCCTGGGTCATGTTTCTTCATATTGGTAGTTCTAGTATCTATTAAAAAAAAAGATGGTATGAGTAATTAACATGAACAATATCCTTTCATACAAGAATTAATTAAATAAAGAGAAGGACCAAAGTAATACAATGAAAGTATGATGAGTAAGGAATTTTTAGTTTTAGAATATATTCTACAAATACTAGCTTACTTGGGACTATGATAGCTGCTTGGACTATAATTAATGTCAAATTTTTCTAATGTTCTCATCTAAAATTGGAATGGATCTATATGAAACTGAGCATAATTATTTTGTAGAAGCTGAGCATAATTCTTATTTTGTAGAAGTTTTGCATGCTTTTTTGATGTTAATACAGAAAATGTATATTTTTATTGTGTCTGCTTTGCCCTGTTGAAGCTTAATCTCGGAGAGGATATTGTGAAAGTTGTAATCGATTGGAGCAAGCTTCAGAGCACATCAGCACTTCAGCCAGCCTTGCTCTTTAGTGCACTTCAGCAGCATATTTTATGTTTACAGGTAAATATTTCATGGGACACATTTGACTTGACAAAAGTGATCAACAACTAAAAGTAATCTCAACTGTAAAATTCCAGTAATTTTGATCATCCGTTGCTGTGTTGAACAAAAAAGGAATGCAAAAATGTTAAATGCTTGGGATTCCACTATGCTCCATAGGTACTTACATTTACAGATTTTTCAGATTAGTGGTGGGAATAGCCACTGTAGGTGAGCAGGCTGAATAAATGCAGCCTCATTGATTTCTAGACTTGCATTGTAAATGTGATACATTTCCATCTATGGTGGGTTATAATTAAGCAATAAGACACGGCAGGTGTGTGTCATGCTATGATAATGATTCCATGCGTTGGGTGAGTTTTGAGGCTCATAGAGTGCTTTCAGTGGTTCAAGAAGTGGCATTATCCCAGCATGACACATCCTGGAGTGTCTTACTGCAATTAAATATATTTTCAGCGTAGGTTTTTTTTTTTTTAAAGAGTAATTTCTTTGACATTAATGTCTCATCTTGCCAAGTAGCCAGTCACCATTACTGTCATTTCTTTTAACTATTTGAAACTTTCCAACCCTGCCAAAAGTAATTTAGTTGCATGACAGGGAGGGCGAGCAGTTTGTTAGCTGGCAACTGAGCAGTGTTTTGACCTTGAGAGTTCATGTGTAGAAGATGGGATTTGAGTACTACTTTTTTGCTTCAGCTAGTCAATGAATTATTTGAGGCGCATAGTACTGAGAGGATGAAAAGGGAAGATTCTGTATTTTCTTGTTTGTAGGTAAACAGAAGACCCTTTGTTTTCCAGACATCCACCACACATCTTTGGTGTGATGAGCAGAAAGAGAAAATATGCAAGATAAAAGCAAATAAAATTTGTATCCAACATATAAGAATGCTGCAAGTAGGAATTTAATTCCATTTCAGAAAATGTGACTGCTAAATGTCATGTTGTCTTTAAAAAAATTAAAATAATTTATAGAAAGAAAATGAGCAGTGAAATTCAGAGTAGATGAAACTGATGGAAATTAAAAAGAGACAGAAACTTACATATGTACTGAGGTTTTGATGTTATAGGTACGTAAGAGTTATTGCAGTAAAATAAGCATTTTTCCTGCCACAAAAGTCAGTGCCTTTTCTCATTTGATTCATGACCTAAGCAGATAATCAACCGTGTCAAGCAAAGCATGTGTTCATGGTAATGCCTACGAATTTCATGTCTGTGCTCTCTCATTCACTTGGGCAACTGTGGTTTCAAGTGGAGAATATAGTGCTGATGTGATAAAGGAAAGGCTTTACAGTGTAAGAGCACTGGATTTCATGTTAAGGAGGAAAAATACTAAGCCTTACTGTTCTGAGTGAGCATTTGAATGACATGTTAATTAAGTGGCATCGATGCCAGCGATTGAAGCTTTGATTTAGCTAGTAACATGGAAGTATGGGCAGATTTTTACAGAAATTTGGGAGTTTTCCTCTATGAACCTCTAAAAGACACGGGTCAAAAAGAATCGTGGTGTACTCAATATTTGGAACTTCTTTTTAATCTTATAATGTTGCAATTCCCAAAATCATCTCCACTGTTTTGGTTTGGAAATTGTAATAGTACTCATCTTCTTGGCTTTGGGACATTTGGACTTTTATTTTGTTAACCCTAATACACTGTTTTCTTTGTTCAGCCTCTCTTAGAAAAACTCCAGTCATTGATCAAAGAGGAAAATATAGGCCATGTTGAACCTACAGGTAAAACAGAAAGCCGAACGTGTTTAGATGTTTATGATGGTAACAGTCAGACTGAAGAAAAATATGGAAGTTATGACTTGAGAGATCTGAAGGATGCTCATTTTAATTTTGATCCAGAAGTGGTCCAAATAAAAGCTGGAAAAGCAGAAGTAAGTGATTTATGTGAGTTTAAAAACAGAAAAATAAAAGACCTTTCTAAATTTTAAATTTAAAGAATGAAAGAGATACATGCCATCATGTTTATTTACCTGCAGATTGACAGGAGGATATCAGCCTTCATCGAGAGGAAACAAGCCGAGATCAATGAGAATAATGTCAGAGAATTTTGCAATGTTATTGATTGTAATCAAGGTAACTGGCTAGCCAGACTTTAATCTTCATACCAATTTAAGTTGTGTGGGGTTTGTTTGGTTTTTCTTGTTTGTTTTCTTTGTTGTTGTTTTGTTGGGGTTTTTGTGGGGTTTTTTTTGTTCTTCTTATTTTTCAAAAGCACTAATCTGTATTTAATATGGAACTTTTTTTTAAGAGTAACTTTGTTTTAAAATTAGATTTTAAAATTTAAAACTTGCATGTGCACTGCAGATGTCAGATAGAAAAATAAATTGAGTAGTCACTGGATGACAATGTTTAATGCATCCCATACAGAAAGATTATATCTATTATTGTGTAAATTTGAAGAACTGCTATCTTAGATCAGATGATTTTGTAGCTTTTGTTCCCAGTGTCTCAACTAGATGTTCCTCCAAAGTAAATGGAATTGCGATTCAGAAATGTCTTATGAATTGTGTATTTAAATTGAAGTTAATTTAGTGCTAGTTAAATTACAAAGTAGTATTTTTTACAATGAATTTGAATTACTAGCTACTTGAAATGACTTTTTCTTTTTAACATTGTTCACATTGTAGTACAATTGGCTGTATCTGTAACCAATCTTAAATCCATCTGGCAGACTGGATCCCATTTACAGGATCAGTAACTGTAGCCAAATGCATCTTTGAAGTTAAGACAGTTTTATATATATAAAACTGTAAGTAGCACAGAGATATTTTCTAAGTACCTGTGAACCCACATATGCATTGTCTCTGAGGTACTTAAGCTCTTAGAGATCAAAGCTTATTGTTCAGTAAGCTTCTTAGAGAGTTTGACTGCTTGAATGTTAGTTGGAATGCAAAGGACATCTGAGGTTTAGTAGAATATGCTAGATAGTGAAATGCTGTTTCCCAAAATTGTTAATTATGTACAGAAGAATTGATAATAAGACCTGTCACATTATTCAGACTTTGGTGTAATGAACATAGATTAAAATACAAACATTAGAATAAATTAAGGTTGTCTATACTATAGGTTTTTATGGTTAAGCAAATGAAAGAAGTCACATGGATCAGAATAAATGCAGAAAAGTTTAGGAAAGAATGCTGGTGAGTAAACTGGATCAGTGGAAAAATAGATTTTCAGAAAAGGAATAAAACCAGAATAACAGTGGTAAGTAGGAAAAGAGAAGTAAGAACCAGATACACTTGGTCCTGATCCAGTAAACTTCTATATACATGTGTGCCTATACTTATATAAATGACTTATCCAATTAAGAGCAGTAGGTCCATGCGACTGTGTGGAACTATTAATGGGCAAGCGTTTACAAGTATTTCTGGGGTTTTTTTATTGTTTGAAGCATTTTAATTAGATTTGTTTAAAGCATCAAAGCTGATAGTGGTTAGAATATTTTCAACTACAAATATGTAATTTGGACCTCACTTGTTATATCATTATTTATTTAGAAAATAGCTGTGCCAGAACAGATGCAATTTTCACACCCTATCCTGGATTTAAAAGTCATATAAAGGGTAAGCAACTCTTTTAATACCCATTTAAGTGTCCAGATATAACAGCAATGATAAGTTTTTGATATCAAAACTTTTTATAGAATGCTCAAAAATGCAAACTTAACGTATTGATTTTTGACTCCAGTGAATACTTTTACATCTTCATTTATGTCTTCAAGGATTTAAATTCCTTAACTGCTTCAGTAAATTAATGTTTAGGCACTAAAGACTGAAAAAAAGTAGCCTATTTTCATTGTTGGAAAGGAAATGTGGAAAAGATAAAGCAGGACAAAGAGGCTGAACAATATTTAGTTTTTTTTCTAAGGTGAAGCCATCAGTAAGGAATTGAGATTGAATAGGATTATCTTCTATTTTTCTTTAGTTGGTATAAGTGTATTTTGGGACAGTGGAAGTTCTAAGACATAGATTTATAAGAAATGACAAGCTGGAGAATGAGTTTTTCACTGCATTGTTTTTTGGAAAGGAATTAATAATATAAAAATTATGTCTAACAGAAGTTGTGTAAAAAATACTGGTTGTTCATCTGCTGCTGTCTAGGTGTTCGCAAGTTACCCATCTTGACAAACAAACAAAATACCCAAAATGAGAATGAAAGTAACCCTCTTTTGCATTTTTGGAAGTGGCAATATTCAGTTATCTGCTTGATGTTGGTTATAGAAACCAATTAATTTTTTGGGGTTCTATAATCCAGAATAATACTGTAAAGCACAGTAAAAAGTATTGAAGGGTATGGTAAGCTGAGAAGAAAATGGGGAAATGAGTTTGATTTTAGAATTTTTCACAAAGAACCTCTTTCAATAGTCACTGTTTTAAAGTGAGTGTTAATTTGTTGGTTGGATGGCAGCATAATACAGGAAAAAAGGGAAATTTGCACTTCAAGGAACAGTTCATAACTGAAATGTGAAAAACACTTAGAAAGGAATTGGAAGTAAAACCAGCATAAATTAAAGCAAGAATGTGGCATGTGGCCTTCATGAAGTATTAAGTAGGATGGTGTGAGTGTGTGTATGTGCTTTAGCATCTGGCCAATATAGTTTTTAAATCTGCAGTACACTGCAGTAGTTCTGTGAGGAGGAATTACTTAAGTAATTACTTAAGGAATTACTCTGATTTAATGAGAAGTGAGCAAATCTTCTGATGAAGACATGGCTCAGCATGGGTAAAAGACAGTCCCAGATGCAGCTGAAGAGTGACTAAAGCTTTTACCCAAATGACAAAAATTAGAAGTGAACTTTGTTTGTATTGGTTCTTCCAGTTGTGTACCTCCCTTCATCTTCATGTATTTATGATACTTCCTGTAATATTAGGTCTGGCCTTTTCTTTGCATTCATAAAAGCTCACATGTACAACTGCCGATATAAATATCAAGGTTTCTGCTGTTTATCAGCAGCTGATGACAAATTCTTGACACTGCCATTCTACATGACTGTATGACTAATTCTTTTACTTTGCATATATAAAATCCAAGGGTTATGTTAGGTTTAGTTACTCATGCAAAAAAATAAGAAAATGCTTTTACTTGAACTTTTGATCTCAGTGTGTGGGACCCTTCACATGCAAGACTTTTGTAAAACTGATCTAACACAGCTTTTCATGCTTCAATATTTTGATTCTTTTAGTAAGATCTCCTTTGTGTTTCATGTGCATATATTTGAAATTTATTTTCTCTATATCTAGTTTCTAGGGTAGTAAATACGTATGGACCTCAGACTAGATCTGAAGGAACGCATGGGTCCAGTCACAAAGCCAGTGTACCCATGCATGATTGTGGAAACCAAGCTGTCGAGGAGAGATTGCAAAACATTGAGGCACACTTACGGTTACAAACAGGTTTGTATGATGTTTTAATTTTGACATTGGTGTGTAGTTTTATACTGCAGTTACAATTACTGTGGTGAAACTGGGCAAGTCCATAAAAACTGATGCTGTAAAAAAAGTGGATGGATCCACTGAAGGATTTAGTTCACCCCAAGTACAGTGATCTAGTGTTTAGGGCTTTATGCCCAAAATGGAACCCAGGTTTATGCCCAGTTTGAGATGCTGAGTTAGTACACTTGTACACTTTCTGTAGCGGCAATAAGAGAAAGGCACATCAGAACAGGATTTAAAGTAATATGGAATATCTGGAGATTTGGGTTCTCAGTAGCCACTGGAGTCCTGCCTTGACCCACTGAACAGGAAAAGCTGAGTTTAGGACTAAGGGCTGCTTCATGGACAACGTGTGGGCTGGTGGTAGAATCAACACAAAGGATGACCTGAAACCTTTTCCTAAAGATGGGTGTTTCCAGAAATACATTTAGGCGTAAAGCTTATTTCCCAGAATGTGGTACGCTTGTTGTCACTATTTGTCTTTAGACATGCAAACATGAGTCCATACCTTTCACTAAAATAAATGCCATAGCCATCAGGCTACTGATGTTTCTTAGGTAGTTTCTTTCCTCACCCCAGACCCAGTTTTCCATAATATGGCACTGAGGCACAATGATGCTCTTGTCAAGGAGGAATTAGTCTTTTTCTTGAAAATTATTTTCAAAACAGAAGCCAAATGTCCATCTAGTAAAGTGAATTTTCTACACATTATACTGCAGACACACTTGATTTTTTTTGTCTTCTGAATGCTGAATAGATGCCAATCCATTATCTTAAAAATATTTGAAATGTTGACTAGTTTGCTAGATTCCTGTGACTGCATAGCGGATTAAAGTTCTCTGGCAGCAAGGGAAGAGTAAGATACGCATAGATACTCTTGAGGCAGCAGTTAGAATTTGATGCTTAGCTCTATAGCTGTCTCAAAAATGTGCTGGCTTTTGTGCATGGAAATAGAATTTGGAAGTGGCTGGCCAGCATTAGGGTTCCAGTGTGTAGCTTTGGAATCTATGCATATCAGGGACAACAATTGGAGGTAGCTAAGGAGGGATCCTTGCTTCCAGGTTGTGCCTATAAAAGGTAATTGAATTTTGTTTGAAGGAATGGATCAGCTAAACTAAACTATAGTATAGGTTAAGAAGATGGAAACATGCCACACCAGCTCAGCTCCTGTTCAAATCAGCATTAATGGGGAACGTCTCAATATTATTTGGTGCATACCCCAGCAGCTGTGCAAAAAAATACTCATCTGAGCAGGTAACATACCTCAGCTACCTGTTCCATGAGTTTTTGCTTCCAGCAACAGAAAGAGTTAATCTTGACTCACTGGCTGCTTTTCAGAACATCTTCTAGTTTTAGTACTGCTCTTTTCCCTTTACATTAAGAGAAAGCAATATTAAGAGTGATAGATTAGCCAATTTAATTAGTAGGTGCTGAGTGTTGAGAACAGAACTGAAGGAGTGAAGCTACCTGGACGATTGTTTCTTTGAAGAGACAAAATAGATGAATGGCAAAAGAAAGAAAACCAAAAAACCCAAACCCCACATTAGTGCTTATTTTGGTCGTTTGTGGACTAGAACTGTCTTGTCTGGAAGACCCAGAAATAATAGGAAATGAGTGTCAAAAAGTAAAAGCTTGCTATGGCCTTGGTTGTCAATGCAGTCCAGAACCAGACTATCATTTTAATTGGAATAGCCAGTACTTAGTTGTGATAAACAGTTATTTTATACAGTTATTTAATTATAGAATACTATGGAGTGCAAATAAGATGCTTACTAAGGCTGATCTTTTGATCAGTTCTGTTTTTACATGGGGAAACATGCCCAAGCTTCTGTAGTATAGATGAAAACAGCAAACGGGTTGAGGTGGGATTTTTTTGGTGTTGTTGCTTTTGTGGTGTGAGTGGGTTTTGTTGTGGCGTTTTTGGTTGGGGTGGTTCTTGGGTGAGCTTGGGGCTTTTTTGTTTGTTTGGTCATTTTTTTGATTTATTTTTCCAGTCCTCTGTTACTCAATTCAATACACACATGCCCCACTCCTGTTCTCCCATCTATGGTCAGGCAAAAGCTGTATTCTTTGTCAAGCACAACTCATACTTGTCCTCTAACCTCTGATGCTCAGTGGAGATTGTTCTGAAAGAAACCTATCTTAGATATCAAAGCTGAATTAATGTGTGGTCTGCCATCTCATCTGTTCTCTCCTAATGCTGGTGTCAGCTTTGAAGTGGCAACATTTCACATATGACCAATGTATTGTTAAGAGTCATCATTAGTTGTTTCAGGAACCTTGACAGACAGACATATTTCAGCCAACTACATGGAGTTGTCTTACTGCTTTCATTGACTGCACTGGCTTATCAATCAGGTTTTACCCTGGATCATATTAATTATCCTTCCTTTATATTATTCCATCCATTTATTTTGTTCAGCTACTGGTTGATAGCTAATCTTGAAGAATTCAAATATCAAACTTTCAGTCTTTAGTTAAATAAGTTATTCAAGCGCTTTTCCTGATTTCTTTGCATTACTACTGATGTATTTAGGTGGTCCAGTTCCAAGAGACATTTATCAGAGAATTAAGAAGCTTGAAGATAAAATCCTTGAGCTGGAAGGACTGTCTCCTGAATATTTTCAATCTGTAGTAAGAAATTTTTTCACCTTCTTTCGGCATATCTAAGTGTGTTTGTGCCTTTTGTGCTTGAATCTTTGATGAGATTCAGTGAAAAACTTAAGAGAGCAGACACATTTAATAAACAGCTCTGGCTTGGTGTAATGGTTATATTGCATGTAGACCATCCAATCAAGTTCATATTTAACTAATTTCTTACTCAAAAGAAGAAAGTATCTGTTGGGGAAAAAATTGCTGCCACCCAAGCTTAACTAATTTGTAAGAAATGTGTCAGAGAGATTGTATTTCGCCCCTTTGCCTTAAAATCTGAAGTGCTCCTTATGTCAAGAAAATTGACTGAAGTTTTGATTTTTGATATAAATCATTAATGGCTTAAAACAGCTGAAATCATTCAGGCTTCTGTACATGATCTGATTGCTAACAATACATGAATAACTTCCAAAAGGATGAGAGAGTAAACTGTTTAAAAATTGCTTCATATGATTCTGTGATTTAGTTTTCTTTATTTCTGGTTTTCAGGAAAGGTTCTGTCTCTCTCTGAATAGTACACCTTAACCTTCACTCACCAAAGGGTATTAGGACAGAGAATATTAGTTTTTACTACATTAAGCTTTTTTTTGACTTAAGAAATTTCTTGTCTGTTATCTTGCTCTTCTTTCCCCATGTAGCACTAGGAGTGTTTCTTTTACTGTTGATTGCATTTTAATTTACATCTTCTCCCTTGAGACCAGCCAAAGCAGAGTCAATTAATAAAAATCAATAGCAATAGTAAGCATTTTGTTTAATTTTTTAATTTGTGTTGGAGATCAGTAAAGTTCTTTATTTGTGAGGTTATTCCTTCGAATGGCTGAAAACCAGAAGTTAAAACAGTTACACTTTCATAAGCTGAAATTTCTATTAAAAATGCTTTAGGATCTCTAGAATGAGGATCAGGGAAAAAATTGTGACAGTGGCAATAGTAGTGTTGCACAGTAATTAGCACATTTTATCCAAAGTTTTGCATAAATACTGGTGTGGATATAGGCAAATTTTAGGGACAAAATATTGACAGTTTCAAAAGCTCAATTCTGTCTGAAGGAAGCTTCAGTTAAATTGATAGTTGTTGACTGCCAAGTATGGGGAAGCTTCAACAGCTTCTGACTGCTCTCCAGTAGTATTTCTCATGATCCAAAGTACTTAATTAGAAAAAAGGTTTCTTTAATCCATGGAATGGCAGTCAGTGTTTTTTCTATACTTTAAAGACTCTTGACAATGTTGTTACAGAATTATTTGTGATCTTCTGTCAGTGCAACATTAAGTCTGTTTTGATTGTCTTTTCTTCAGAGCTGTTCTGGCAAGAGGCGAAAGGTTCAATCTCCCCATGTAAGTGCTATTAACTCTTGTTTTTCTTAAGTTTAGTTTTGAGTGGAAAGTATAGAGAAGTTCTTGGAAGCAAGTATGTAAGTTCTCAGAAGCAGCAGCATCAGTATTGGATAGCTTGCTGCCAAAGAGAGGGAAGGAGACAGAAAGCTAATGGAGGTTACAATGAAATGAGTTTTCTAAGAATATATACTAGGGTTTTTACCAGTTAGGACAATGACAGAATAAAACAAATGTGTAATGCTGTTAATCAAGCTGAGAGTAACAGGCAATTTCTGTATTCTGATCAGCCTTCTATTAATGTCTTCTGGGGTTCTTTTGTGACTTAGTGGTTTGTGTTGATTCAAATTTTTTTCTTTCAATTTGCTTTATTGGTTTATGAAAATACAAAAGTAGAAAGGCTGGCTTGGCAGAAGATTTGCAGAGGGACCCAACATTATAGGAGATATTAACCTGTTAGTAAGACTTGCCATTTTCACAACACCTTTACATAAGGGATTGCATTTACCATGTACCTCTTAGGCCACAAAAGAGAAGTTATCATTGGTGCAGGTGGGACTATGGCTGGAACCTTGTCTGCTCCTAGCTATCACCCTTGGAGACAGATGGATTGGGGAGAATGCTTAGAATGGAATATGGGTCATCTTGGACTTGAGAAAGTAGGCTTATTTAGGAGAAAAAAATGACCTGCATAGAGTGAAATATTTTTATAAAAAGAATGATGACCAGCTTGTCTAAGACGACATAAAAAAATTGTGAGGTCAAGTGGCACAGAGGAACTTGATGTTGGGCAGTAGGAAAAAAACCACTTTTAGCTGTAAACCCAAGTTCTGCAAAATCTAGGTAGTCTCATCCAGTGTTTTAACATGAAGGGATTTCTTGGGTTTTTTTATGAGCAGATTAAACAAGCATCTAATAAAAGTAGCATAAATATATTGATCCATGATTAGGACTGTCTTTCTTGCAAGTTTACATTCTTTTTCCTTCAAATTCAAATAGGCAAAGACTAGATTCAGACAATTCTGCAGAAGTAGTTCTGTCACTTAGTGCAATATGCAGTGACCTCAAGTATCAAGTGGTAAGCCACTTCTCTAGCAATTATGAGATGTAAATGATTGTGATTTTTATTTTGTTCTTTTAGCAGAGCTATTCACTGGCTGAACTTGATGAAAAGATCAATGCTATAAAACAGGCATTACTGAGGAAAACAAAAGAAAGCAAGTCCAAGGAGGCTGAGCAGCTTCTTCGATAAAAGTGTTTTCAGAATCCTCATCATGATTTACACATACCTGAACCATAGATCTGAGTAGTATTCATCAGACATGACTAGCAATGAAGACAAAGCATTGCACATAAGCTCCTTTTGGATGATCTTGAAAGCTTTCAGACTAACTTGTTTAAAAGCAGCTTTATTAGTGAAATAGTTACTTTAAAATGAAGAATGTTTCAGGAAGAATAATAATAATAATCTGTTCCCTTCTGTTATAAAGGAGGACTGCAGCATTGTTAGTATTTGAAAAGTCTTAACACAAAAGCTACATGTCACATGCAATTCTTGGTGATTAAGTATTCAAAAGGACTATCTTTTGGATACTGTTCATGAAAGTAGTTTGCATAGACCTGTGAAATTAAATTAAATACTTCCTCAGAAATAAACTGACTTGGGGAAAAAAATTACCAAAACCTTGCAGAAGGCATGCTTTCCTGTGGGTTTTTTTCTGTATTTAGCACTGTTTTTACAGCTGTTAGAAATGCAGCAAATTGCATTTTTGTGTGACAGGTATTTATGGAAATTCTATATGTGTAAATAAAAACAACTGTTCTTCACTTTCAGCGTCTTGTGGAAATTCAGATTTCATAACCTTTTCACAGTGTATTCTAAAAACCATCCCAGAGGAGAATTTGAGGAGCATGCCAACAAGGCACCAACTTCCATTCCATATGCATGCTTACATGACTTTTGAAGCATGAATGTTAGCTTAAAGTCAGACCTTTGGCCAGACAGTGGAGATTGTGTTGTGACTTTTTGTTTGGTTTTGTTTGTTTTTTAATAAACTGTTTTCTATTTATACAAATTCTTTTATTTACTGTGTCATTATTTCAGTTTAGAAGAAAAGTGGCTGTTACTGAGGGAGTTTCATGTAAACTGCTCTGCTTACAGCTGTCAAATTTTTGATGTCCCTGTATCAGTTTTTTTGACAGGTGATATGAACAGTACTGACTTGACACAGCCTTTGGAAGAATAGTAGGTGTTTTCTGTGACCTTGTCTTTTTATCCAGAACAACATTTGTTATAGAAACTGCAGCTCATTTCTCTGGAGGTGAACCAGCAGAGATGGGAGAGAAAGCTACTTGAGCTCTTGTCTTGGGCTCCAGGAAGGATGAAGTATGCTAGTGACCCCTAAGGTGCTCCTTCTAGGAAGATATCTCAGATACAACAATGGATACACAGAGGTACTGGTTCAGTTGGAAGATTGTCATGTGTCATGTTACATATCAGTACAGTCTTCTACAGAGACAACTTTTGTTATTTTGCCATTGTTCAACATCCTATTACAGTATTTTATGAGGGATGTTTTGGTGAAGCAGCACAGTGAGGTGCAACTTTCTTACTTCAAGTAGATAAGCTTTACTTCTTTTTTTGGCCCTCTGGCAGGGGAGCCAGAGTTTGAAAGAGTACAATGTGGGTAGAGTTGTGACACCACACACTTCAAACAGTAATTGAAAGAATGGTAGGAGGTGGCTGTTACAGGGCCAGGAGGAATGCCTGAAGGGATTTAGCTTTTATAATGCAGTAGCCTCCACTCATGTGCCTTGCAATACTGGTAGCACATGGTGCATTTGCTGTAAAGGTATTTCTGCAGTATGTAATTTCCTTTGGAAAATTCTGGAGCGAAGCTCTAGAAAATATTACTTGGCAGATCCTAGGCCTAAAATATTTGTCTAGTATTAAAATTCTGTGTTGTTGGTTTACATTAGGACAAGCTTGTATGTATACATAGCCTACAATCCTCATCAGGGGTCAGTTCTTGAAATGAATTGCAAACTTCTGATTTCCTCAAGAGATACTGGTTACTGATACAAAGACCACATTAGCTGTTTCAAACTGGCTTTTTCTGTAGTGAATTACGAGCTACTTGAAAGATGTCTTGCTTTGTAACTCTCCTCTTTCTTAAGATGACAGTCAGGTAGCAGTTAAGTGTTAAAAATAATGAATAGCTAAGGAAACAACAGCAGATGTACTCTGGATGGTAATTTATTAACCCTATATAATCTATCAAATGCGTGTGACAGAAAAACTTGATAAAAGTCATGTGGCATTCATCTTTGTTCCTAGTCTTTTGCCGTTCTTTGGTTTCAAGTTCTTACTTTCTTGAATGCTTAATGTCAATGTGCCTAGACTGTAAAAATTCAGGGGCAAGATACTCTCTGCTCTGAGCTGAATGTTAAACAAACTTGCATATTTCAGAGGTTTGCCAGGCTGTTGCAAGTTTCCCTTCCTCTGCTGTATGACTTTATGCAGAGAGACATAGAGGAACAGGCTGCTCTTCTCTGGTTCAGTGCTACTGGTCTTACCAGATTATCCTTCCTTACCTTTTGTCTCCTTGGGTTTTACCTTCTCAACTAAATTCCACTGTCAGGACTGTTTCTCCAGAAAGATGCGCCTGTTGCTATACAATAGATGTTCCTTCCATGTTGCAGCCAAGAAGAGGTGTACAAAAGTACAGAAGTACAAAAGCACTTACGTTCTTGCACAGGCAAACTTCAGAGAAATAGACTGGTGGAGTCACACCCTTCCATCCCTGAGAGAAATGCAGCAGATGGAAGCTTGGCAAGAGTCAGAAGAACCCTGAGCCTCTTGCCATCAGGCAGGAGGGGACCTAAAAGACAGGAGGGATTGGAAACAAGTCCCTGTTTGAAAGGCAGGAGAATCCCCTACCAGCCTCTTGCCTTCTCAGGTGCACTTGTAGAACTCAAGCAAATGCTAGTGAAGGTGAAGGTCCACCCAAGGGTTTACCCAGAGCAAGTCAGTCAGCCAGACACATTGCAACTATGGATTTTAAGAAAGGAAGAAGGGTAATTATTGTAGTGATGTCCTTCTCAGGGAAATGGGGGACCATGTACACTGGCTGGATCCATCCCAAAGTCTGCTGCTTCCCTGGGGTTCAAGTAAGAAATGTTACGAGGTGATGAACAACATCTGATTATTACCCACTTCTAATTGACTTATCAGTCAGTCAGGGTTGTCAGTAATGAGGCAGGAGAGAAGTTCCAGGGCAGTTAAAGACTTCAGGATGCTAAGATAACTGGTTGAAGGGATAGGATCACAGGTGGTGTTTTCCTCAGTCCCTTTGGTAACAGGGAAGAATGATAAAAGTGAGCTTTTTGCCTTTCCAGTTTTCACTGTAAGTGTCTTAATGGCATCCTTGTACTCTTCCTGAGTTGCCTGCCCCTTTTTTCAAAGGGTATAAACTCCTGGTTTTCCCCTGAGTTCCAGAAAAGCTCCCTTTTCAGCCAGTCTGGTTGTCTTCCCTGCTGGCTTGCCTGTGAGTGCATAGGGACAGCCTGCTCCTGCACCTTCTTATAGTATGCCAGTCTTTACACCACATGTTGATCAGGTGGGTTCTCATGTTCCTATTATCATTCTTCCCTGTTACCACCCATATTTGTGTTACACAATATTAATTTTGGATAGAAGGTGTTCCCATTTGGGAAATCTTACACCAAACGTAACTGTAACTGATTGCAGGATGATACATTGCAAGGTTCAGATGAAATCCTGCAAACCTTTCCCTCACACGTCCAATTAAAATTCCAGATAATTAGGAATTGCATTGCTTAATTAATTTACCCAGAACAGGGTTATAATTTTTCTAGTGTACAGCTATTCCACACTATCAAAAACTGCAGCCTTACTGTGCTGTAAACTGACAAGAAAAGAAAGAATGACCATCGAATGTATGTCCTGCTGGCGAGAGATTGCAAAGCCTTCCAGGTTGCCAAGGCACTTACCTGAGCTGCATCTCTACTGCCCCGGTGTTTGCAAGGAGCATGCTTTGAAAGAAATGCTAAAAATCCCTGTAGCCAACCAAGAACTGAAATGACAACTTTGTTTCCAGGACAAGAACTCAAGAAGGACTTTACTCCGAAGTTCAATATACAAAATTCACATATAAAATTCTTTCTCCTTATTTATGCTTACTTGAAAGCTGATCTATTGATTTTTCCAGGTTTTGTCAGAGTCCAATAGCCTGTGTTTCATGCTGCACCTCAGTTATTAAGGGCTTCCAGTTACAAGATAAAAAGGATAATTGTACAACACTGTAAATTTGGAATTAATTATTTGAGTAAAATGTCTAAGAGCATCACTATTATGCCAAGAACATTTGTCTCACATTGCTGTAGAGAGGTAGTAAAACATTGGAGCTTGTGTTACAGTTCTGCAATGTGTGCATGATCAGTTTCTTTGCTTCAGGCTCCCCTGAGTAGGGAGCGATTCAGCTCTAGGAGGCTAATTTCTTGCAGTTGAGTGCAGGATTTTAATAAATAAACCCAAAAGTGAAGTGCCCTTTTGAACAGCCCTCATATCAGCAGGTAATATCAGTAATTTAGAAAACTCAAACCATTCACCATTCTATCCAATGTATTGTGATCAGTCCTGGATTATTTATTTATTAATTTAATACATCACAATTTATCTCTTTTGTTTTAATTAAGACCTTACAACAATACTGAGAAGTTTTAACCCCAGAGTGCTGAAAATTAATTTTTTGAAGGACGAGTAGTCAAAATACTGAATAAAAGTAAATTTTTGATTGATCAGTTTACAAATCATTTGCACCAGTGAGAATAAACAATGCATTTTCTACAGTAGCAGGTGCTGTAGCAGTAGCCATCCTCTCCTCAATGAAAACCTGGAGAGAGGGCTTTGAAGGGGCAATAAAAAGTCTCTGGAAAGATTCCCTTACAGATACCTTTTCCCTTGCCCCATAAAGGCGCGTGTTTTCCATAACCCTTCCTGTTGAAAAGTTATCAAATGCTCCAGGCTCCTGTAGCTGTAGGGCTCTCCCTTCAGCCATTCTCTCACAGGAACCCACATAATCCTCTCACAATTGCTCACTACCTCAAAGCATGACAGAAAGTGGATGAAACTATCCCCAGCCCTGCGGCTTCCTAAGGATCCAGACAACCCAAGGATCCAGCCTTGGTCCAAAGGGGACTGAGCTATGCCTTGCCCTTGCTGCCAGCTTTGCACTAGCCCAGATAAGGTGCTCCTGTGGTTAGGAGGAGGGTTTGATGCCACATCAGATAATCTATCCCACCCAAAAGCAGTGAGACCCAGCTCAACGGGTCTCCAGGAGACAAGTTTTCTTGACACTTCATCCTAGGATATATGAATTTGACTTCTGACTTTAAATGCTATCTGATGGGGGAGAGGTAGGAGAACATACTGTAGAAAATCTAATGATTCAGAAATAGGAAAAAAAGAAAGCACAACTTAACTACTTCTGTAGATCTAATGAAACTGCTTTGTCATGGACAAAACACTTAAAAATAACAATGAAAAGAATAGGCATTGTTTGAAGGTATTATTTAGAAATCATCTAATTCTTTAAAGGTTAATTAGTGTAATTTACCCATCTTGATTATTAAAAAGGGTTATTCATGAACAATAAACATAAGAGTTCAATCCATTTTATTTCCACGGTTGATTCATCCACATCTGATTAACTTTTTATGACCATCTAATTGATTTGTAGAATTCTGTCCAGTACAGATGGGCTACTGTTCATGACTACTTTCATAGCATTTATATTATTGTTGCTCTGATTTTTATTCAAGGCCAAACAGAGGGGAATACGAGAGCGTGATGTTCACCTAAACATAACAATGACATTAAATTTCTATTTGGCTCTGAGACAAGAATAGACTTGTAGAGACAATCTACTATGAATACAAATAAGTTGTTTATACATAAATATAATAACATTTCTTACTTAATTATGAACTATTTCACTGGTTCTACAATGTGCTGTTATCAAGTTTTGTAGCAACAGCCAGGCGAAAT